TCAAGATTTTTTAAAAAGTCAAAGACTGTATACAAGTCTCAATATTGAGAATTTTGCACGATGGGACGTAATTTTAGCCCGAAAATGTCTATTAGTGAATATTTTTTAAAAAGTCAACGAGTAAGACTGTATATATTTTTGAGAGCGGTGTCCACCCTTTAATATCAATGTGCCAGGTTTTAACCTAGAATTTATGTAAGCTCATTTAATACCCTTTTGAAATATATAAAACTCAATGTTAAAAATTTTGTACGATGGGCCGTAATTTGTGCCCGAATTTTAGATTTATTTATCTAGATTATTTGCCTTATGTACTATTTTTAGATCTACTTTCATATTATATTATGTATCCATGGCAGTGATTGGTTAAAGAATATTTCTTCGTTTGGGCGAGTTGGTATCACTATTTTGAATCGGCGGCTACTTGACAGCTCAAATCGACGGTTGCGCGAAAAGGCGGCCAAATTGTCTTTAGGCCTGTTAGAAGATGTTGGGCACACACGAAATATTTGGGGGCCCTGAATAAAAAATCCCGGGACCCGATAAGAGTATATAGGGCTTAGGTCCTAGGCCTATTATGAAAATATTGGGCCAATTTTATATACATGTATGTATTTGAATTGAACGGAACCTCGATGTTGACCGAATATGGGCCCCGTTTAAAGGTTTTTGTTATATAGTTTTCAGAAGACAAAGCCATTTGCAATTACCATCCTTTTACACCAAATGAGATTTCTGATTGAATAAACTTAATAGTGGCGTATGGTTTGCCAAGAGAGGTAATTAGTCTCTATAATGACGAGAATATGTGATTGTTCAAGCAACAGTTAGATGTGGATAATCATCGTACCGTTGCTTAAGGAGCATGACCCGGTCCGGATTCAGATTATTTGTAGCTGTCTAAACGCGATTATTGATACTTTCGGTTATATTGGTGAGTGCTGTGTGAATAAAAGTGGTGAATGCGAACCAGTGGCGGCGCGACTTAATGGGGGGACCTGTCGACAAGAGGACTAACTCTCTTTGACTTACAATACTAACATTATAGTTAATGTAATAGCAGTTATTATTAACACACATCCATTTGAAATCGTAAATGAAAAAAACTAGGATGATTTAAAGCCTTATAAATCAAAACACTAAAGCAAAAAAAAAAAAACCGAAAAAACAAAAACAAAAATTGTTATTATTATTCAGATAAACATAATTAATGTGTCTATGCAGTTATTTTTATACAATTTAAAGGTTTATCAGTGATATTCCTAACACAAACAATGCACATAACTAGTTCTTCTTGACTAGAGTGCAAAAGATGCTACGCCGCGTAATTTAGTACCAAAATTTCTAATCAGGATTTTAAAGAGTTTTTTTGACAAAGTTTAACATCAGATCTAAACTTAATGAATCTGATCTATCTGAACCAGAAACAGAACGTTTGGGACTATCTGTGCATATATTTATGTTTAATTATTATTCATGATTACACCAATGGTTTAGGTTTAGGAACATATTTACTATACATGTACACAGCGACCATGACAAGAGATGCCCCAATGACAAATTGTATTGATAGATGAAAATCAAAGAAATACACAGAAACAATACATGACAATACAATAGAGGCTGATGTAGCAAATCCTTTTAATATATTATCAGCATATTTTACTACTACTGCTACAATCAGACCTCCAAAACTCTGTAAAAATATAACTAACCACACAAACCATGTATAACCAAAGAAAAATCCCTTCTCTGTCAGTTTAGCACCATCTTTTAGCTCCATTGTTATTAACCCAATCACAATACCCAATACACTCAACTGGATGTTTCGGATCCAAACCGACTGTCGTGTCATTTTTCAAAATAAATACCTGCAAATCCGGATAAGACACACGAAATAATAACAGCCACCAAACCAACAAATGGATTTTGTGCCAAATTGTGAGACACAGATTTCTCTGATGTTTTGGGTTGTAATTGAACAACAGACACACCCACAAATAAAACCACTAATGAAAGCCATTGTAATTTAGCTACAGCTTTTTCTAACATAAACACAGAAAATATTGCTGTTGTTAGAATTTTTAGTTGATAGGTGACCTAAAATAGAAAAAAAAGAAGTACAATTATGAATGAAAATGATTCCCAATTCACTAGAAGACAGCAATCTCAATTCAGCAACTTGTGAGATCAATAATAATTTTCTCTAATGCAGACGTCACCAGTAGAATGTAAACTGAAGGCCAAAAAAATCTTTACAAAGGATTGAAAACATCTCAGAAAAAAATACAAGGCTAGAAATGTGAACATCTCCGAGCAACGAGACATTATCCTATTGCTTTTGGACCTTTTTATACTTCTATCTTGTTAGCTTTCAACCTCAGTGTTTTTAAGCCTACAATTTGTGAACAAGAAATTAAACCTCTCGGGTATCTGATAAATAAATCTGGTATATAATAATACTCGAATAATGTCACCTTAATTTTCTCAATTTGTAAAGAATTATAGAGAAAAAAGTTATGCGTATGGTCGTACAAAATCGTCGTCGACATAAGCAAGCATACACGCGTTTTTTTGAGCGTTTTAAAATTCGCGACGATAGGGTCAAAAGAATTCAGATGAAGAGTTCTATACATGTATACTGTATATCTTTATTCATTATAATTCCCAATATCGTCTTGGTTTAGCCTAACGTCTATTTAATGGATAACCTTAAGTGGCCTTATTAATTTGAATTGGCCTTAAAACCTTGTTGTACATGTAATTATTGCAATACCAATTATTGGCAATATTTAAGTTTATAACCTTTTGTCAATAATATTGTCTATCCGTTTAGGCCCATTTTCATTGGAGCTTACATTCTGATGTCATATAATATAGAGGCGACGTACCCTTGCAAAGGGCGAATGGACTCTAACCAAGCGGCGAGCGGACACAGGGCGAAAGTGTAATAGGACAAACGGACCCGATGTCGTTAGGACTAATGACTCGAACTATCTCTCACTGGGCCTTATTTTCTTTCCCGTTTCAGCTACTGATTGGGATAAATCAAACGAGAAGCAGATGCTTATTTAATATTTAGTCTATTTAATTAAGGATTCTGGTTATTTCCTTCAAAGGATTCTGATTATTTCCTTCCAAGGATTCTGATTATTTCTTTCCAAATTATTTGAAAGAAATTGTACTTGATCCTTGCTTCTTGATCCATGATAATCCATTCGTCTAAAATAGAAAATCTATCCAATTTGCATCATCTGTTGACTACCTCAATTACACGACCATTACCGATGTTTTTCGCTCCCGTGAAATCAAAACGAATTAATTAAGCGACCATGACAGTTCTCGTAATATCCCAAAACTGACCCAATAATCTTCTAAGAGACAGCCTTCATTAAGATACTGTTGGGTTATTTTCTTGTGTGGTGTCTCAGTGCAGTTTCTACTGGACTCTTCTGTATAGGTCACAAGTATTAGACATTTGTAGTTTGAGTTCTAATTAAAATAACAAAAAAATTCCAAAAGGTTAAATAACTTGCGAATTCACAGCTTTAAATGGAGGTATCTTTCAAAATTGTATGTAAAAATTTAGGAAAAACTGGTTTAAAAATTACAGAATCAGATTATTTTGTTATCTGGTTCACTTATTCAAGGTGTAAAAAGTTTAAACCAACATTTATGTAATCAATATTGTTTAACACTCTTTACATCCTGTCAATTTTGGCAGGTTAGTATTTTATATGAGATAAAACCACAATCTTTTTTTTCTAAATTAATCCAAATTAAAGGATTTTGAATTTTTATAGAAAACCACCAATTTCGTTAAATAGAGAATTACGAGTGCATTCTAATAATGTAAACCATATCTGAATGTGTTTTTCTTAGGTGATTCAAATAAATTATTATAGATAATCTGTACGGTTGTGTTACATTTGTGAATCACACCAGAAGAAAGAACGCCCAAAACCTAGAAACGATGTCGAAGACAATGGTCGAAATTTCATTATGTTTCATGCAAATTTCGCTAAAATTTTTCAAAATTTTAAATTTTCAATTGCACCCGATACACTTTGTTACAAACAACATTTAAAAGAAAATTCAAGGTAAATTTACAAGTGAAGTATAATCATCTATCCATTCATTTTTCATCGTTGAATATACGTTTCAAAAAATGACTGATTTATTTTGGGGAGGAATAGATATGGAAAGAATCTTCCAGGAAGGAATGGTCTCATTTAGGTTGAGAAGTACTGTTATTGGGAACATCACTGAAGACAAACCTCATCCAGTCTGGTCGTTTCCCTTGTCGTACAGTGTGGGCCCATCGTAATCTCAGACGACAATGTTGGCGCTGCCAATGACTGTACTATGAACGGAATTTAAGCCCTGAACCCTTGTCTTCAGAGCCGTCTGGACACGATCTGTTGATTAACTTTATGACTTAACTCTTCAGCTCGTTGACGGGACCAACTTAAGGTTCTTGCAATGTGAGCATGAATGGCTCCCATCCGTACCATTCCCACAGCCTGCTCTCGTTGTTGTGTTTGTATACGCCTACATTATAATGTGATCATATATTGTTGTTGCCCATGTCCGTCCGTCAGTCTGAAGGTCTTTCCTTTAGTCCACAATTGACTTGTGAACCTATGAACACAATAGAGTCTACAGTTTTCATTTGATTTGAAATTTTGAAATTTTGAAATTTTGAAATTTGGTGTGATCATTAATATTGACGATATCAAGTTTTTTTCGAAGAACGGTTTTTGAGTCATTGTCACGTCAAAATTGAGAACACAAAAGTTTTCATCTGCTTTTATTGAAGTCTGGTGTGATCATTTATAACAACGAGATCTCGGTCAAGTTTGGATTTGACGATTTTTCGATGAACGAAATTCGAGTTATTGTCCTTAACTATGTAAAAACGCGTCGAAATGTGTTCATGAATACTATAGACCATACAGATTTCATCTGCTTTTAAGGAAATTTGATGAGAATTTTTTCTGTGAACAATTTTTCAGTTATTGCCTATTGTTTGTGAACATAATAGAGAATACAGTTTTAATCTGATTTTAATGATCACTAAAATTATGTTAAATGTGGCTTGTGAACGTGACAGAGGTGACAGTTTATGTCTGAATTTTATTAATTCTATGTGTTTAAGTTTAAATCATCAATATTTTTTGGTACAATTTGACACAGATTGACGATCGCCTTTGATCTACTGAGGGTTTATCGGGAAGTTGTCGAATCTTGCTAGGCAACCATTTGTTTATCGTCGTGTGAGCCATTCAATCCGTTTTTATACCCTTGGTACACATGTATTTTTGTGTATTAGGGGATGACGTGATTATATTTTTCAGATTTTTCCCACCACAATGAGACGGGTATAATTCCTACAAACAATAATAGTGTAATAGGCAAATTTCGAACCTTTGCATATTTCAATGTACAGTGGTATTCTTTTCATTTCAGTAAAAAACACTCCTGGTTGAATTTCAGTCAAATCTGTCGACGCTTACAACTTGCTCAACGAAGCCAAAGTTTGACAATTAATAGTGTCCTCAGACGCCGAACCGCCAATTACATGTCATGTCCTGCACAATTTTGAAGAAATTGTGGAGCAGGTAGTCTGTACTCAGAATATAGCCCCATTTGTGATTTTTCAATAGCAAGGTTCTAAGACAAAATATGACCTGTATGTGGAATCGAAATAAGCCACAGCATATCGAAAGGCATCCTCGACATCAGCTGATGCACTTACTACCCCCTTGTAACTAATACTTACAGTGTACTTATGGAGATGGAAATCCCCTCAGTATCGCCTGAAATGGCCGTGGCATTGGAAAAGACCAATACTAACACGAGGAAGGCAGGGCATCTTCTCAGTGCATTAGGCGAGTAGCCATTGCTCCATCTATGTTATCTGATGGCTCGAGAAGCTAGCTAATTCAAAGAAAAAAATACTGTATTCTAAATGTGCTGTGTTTCGACACAACTAGCTCGCGAGAAAGGCCCTTAAGAAGAAACCCCCGGAAGCTTGCGGCCATCAAATGCCCGTTTAGTACATTTAGTAGGTTTCATGATTTCGGTCCTAGATTCAACCTATAAGTAGGATGATCCAGCTGTTAAAAGCTACTACAAGGCATACGCTTAGACCTTCTCTTGTTAGGCACAGAATCATCCATGTGACGATTACGATGAACTGTTAGGTACCCCTCGCACCTAACCTCACTCAAATTACAGGTGTCAAAAAGCAATATAATTTGAATTGGACTCTAGTTGACAACAAACTCTGTCCAAACATCCAGCAAACTGTGTCTGTGTATTTGTTAAAATACCACACTGGCAGTGATTCAGTCATACATGCCCCTTTGTATGACCTCAATTTGGTGATGCATTGTTTGACAGTTTTGATAACTTTTTTAACAATAAATAACAATATAGTGAGTACTACAGGGTCAGATGATCCACCTGACCCAACTGACAATCTGACCAAAAAAACTCGTCGACTACGATTACAATGACGTACCCAAATAAAAAAAGACACAGTTGCAGCACCGAGAATAACAAATGATGTGGCAGAACAAGGCGTGGCTCTTATGAAAATGTTCTAGTCTTCGGTGGTCGAGCGACGTCGTAAAAATTTCCCAAAGCCAAGAATTTGATTGATCCTTGAATTGCCTCATTATAAATAATGATTATAGTTTGTGGCCAGAACGTTTATATTAACAGATCTAAATAGTACAATATATGTCATACAATTGCATTTTTAATCGGATCAGCGGAATTTTCAACCTTCTTGAGGAACTAGTAAATGTAGGATGTATTTTCTCCCCAATTGTCTTAATTTGGCGCCCTGTACAGTTATAAATTCCGAAATAAAAAAATTAAAAATACCCCTTATGGATAAGTTTGAAACTTGGGAGAGTGGTAAAGTTTCTTTTGGACTTCACCTTATATATATGTATGATGTAGTAAACCAACCTGAAATGTAGCAGCATCTAAATTAGACACAGCTAAATACAATAGGTTATTCTGGATAATATAAATAATAGACGGTACCGAAACTTTAACACAGTCTAAAGGACAGTCTATAAAATCAGTTTTTAGAATTTTTACAAACTGGCCAACACCACCTTCTTGATAAATTATAATTACACAACACGTCAATAATTTACACATTTCTGACATGACCACCGCTGTACTTGATAAATACATATCCCCATGTTGGGTGCGTGTATAACGCATGACCAATATAAGAGCAGCATTCTGTAAGATTAGGGCCACCAGAGAGAAATACTTCAAAGAATTCAAATCTGAAATTATAAATAAATTAATACCTTTGGATTTGTAAAATGCTCAATTAAAACACAAAAATCATATATGATTATATATATATCTTATATATTTTAGATGTCTTATGATCCTGTAGTCTTTCATTTACCATGTGATTGGTGAAAATCTAAATCCTCGGGTCTCTGCATCCTTTTGTTGATTTTAGAGGGCATTAGTTTTGGTGGCGTGTCAGGGTGGCCTCTATCTGGAAAATTATGACCCAAAAAAGAGCTGCCAAGATACGCCACTGAAAACCCAGTTCAATACATTTTTATCAACATAAAGAGTCCAGTAACTTGACATGATAGTTTAACCCATAATGAATATACATTGTTTTCCACTGAGCTTAGTTTATAAAAAGTTTGTAAGTGGCTGTTGAGACATCCACATCTCCCTGGTCATCCCCATAATTGAAGAACAAGCACTACATTTGTATAGAGAACACCTTGAAGACCAGCAAGAGTTAGAAGCTGTCCTATTCCTGTTATTGGTGCGTTGGAGAACTATCCAGGAGACGTAATTGGGCCAAGCCTTAAATCTAGCCAAGGGACGCAATTGGGTCCAGCCTTAAATCCATAGGAGGTCTACCGTTGGCAAGCTTGCTGTCTCCACAGCAAAGACAGAATGTTTTGTAAAAGTGTAAGAAACGTCATTTGTGGTTTGACAACGATTTAAATGATCACAGATTCAAACTGTAAAAGAATTTGCTTAACGCGCGAGCTCCAATAATGTGACCATGCTATTACGCACACTTTTGGCGACAATGCGCCGTGATTGCATGTCAACAAATTTTAGATTTTTTCTGCTCTTGCACAGCCGTTTCTTTATATATGTTGCATCGAGATTATCCATTTTTTCTTTCGCCAAATGTTCGCAAACCGCCAGCCCATTGGGACTGGGGCTTTACATATATAGCTTTTCACCATATTTATTCGACAACGTGGTAATGCAAACTCCCATAAAATTCAAGGTAGGCCTAACAGATGGTCACTCTTGTCTATATTTGTAATGACAGATCAGAGATTTTCTTTTGCCATCCCAGCACACATCAAATTCGTGAAAACTCTACACCAAAATCTTGAAAAATGTCTTTTAACGTATCTGAAAGTTTTAACTAAAAAATACAGCCGTTAATTTTTTAACACCAAAACTTTTACACTTTTAAAGTTCGTTATGGTCTGGTTAAGAGGCCAACAAATAAAAGAGAAATTAGCCTTAAAAGTTTTAAAATTTGCTGTTTTCGAACGTCTGTAAAAGCGGAAGTATGTCGGACATCAAAGATCAAAGTATTAATTGATCATAATCATGCAAGTTAAAGGTAAAGAAATAATCTGTCCATTTTTCAGAAACTGGCCAAAGTAGATTCCTTTTTTGATGTGAAGTTTAAAGGTTAACAAACGCATACTTAGTTATTAACCATTTCCATTACGTTTTTTAATTGTGAATCTAGCCCGGATGTTCCCACGCCCAAAATTGAGTCCGTTATCATGTGTACAATTTTAAATTATGTTCAAGTGTCTAGAACTTCTAAATCATAAGCTGATATTCGTTGTTTTACATTAAAGGCTTGGTACAAAAATTTCAAATTTTTAAAAGCGCAATTGTAATGAAAATAAGGAAATAAAAGAGATTTTTTCGTAATTAAAAAATCGGCTTCCTACAGTTATTTTCTTATGCTCTTTCATTTGACACCAAAATCATCAATTTCGGATAAGCAGTTATCTCTGAATAAAATTTCAAAGCAATCGGAAAAATAGCATAGAAAATCGAAAATTTGGTCAAAATTTCCAAAATTCGGCTCAACAATGTATGCTATGAATTTTCAAAATTCGAAACTTTATCATTGCTAAACTGTTGGATATTCTTGCGAGATCTCAAAATTGAAAACCTGAGAAAAATCGCTCCAAAATGCGCCTTCTTGAGCCAATTTTCTACTTTTTGCACATATCGAACTATACCACTATCCGTTTTGGGAATTTATATTCATCCAGTAATACACCACAAATGAAGATTTAAGGTATTGCAAATGTTGCTTAAACTATTACAGTTTCTCCAGATTAGGCGACACAAAATCATATTTTTTTGGAAATTACGAAAACAAAGCAGTGTGTTCTCAATAAACGCCTTATTGTAGAGAAATATGTCTCCTACAGACTCTCAACTAATAATATCGAGCCGTTAAAAACACCAAAAAATACCATCAAATGGCTTAATTAACAATTAGCGATCTTCGTTTTTAAAACAAATTCAGTTAGATCAAGTAGATACAAAAATATAAATAGCACATTTAAGAAGTTTTTTCAGGTGTAATTTACAACGCTTTTGACATTGAATTTTTTGTTACTAACAAAGTTGAATACCAATTTGAGGAATACCAGATATCACTAATGAAAGGATAATTGCACACAGCTGCCACTCATTCATCCAACCATTCATCCAATTATTACCATTTTTGAACTTAAGATCTCAGCAATATATACATGCATACCAAGTTTAGTGGAGATCAGATAAAAAGTACACCCTGTATCATGACTACATGCCAAATTTGAAGCGTTTTTACTAAGTCATTGGCAATAACTTCAAAATCGTTCATCCTATTATGATCAAATCCAAACTTATCAATGTATCAATATATACACGCATACCAAGTTTCATCAAGATCAGATAAACGCTGTAGCCTCTATACAAGAAATGTCGGTCAATATACGTCCATATTTCCACGTGGGCGTATAAAAATGAAATAACACCATTAATATAAGTTCATAAAAATTATGAAACCAGTTGATAATAACTTAATGTTATTCAAATAATAAAACAAATGCTTGTCTTGCGAGATGCCACAATTTTCAAAATTCAGGTGTAAACTGAAGGAGCTTTATAATGGCAGATTCAGGGGTTAGGTTGAAACCTAAAGGATATAAGACACTTTAATATTAGATTAGTGATTGTCAATTGATTTTAAGTTCAATGCTTCAAATCTGATCAGTTCTTATAGAAATAATAAATGTACGTTTATGACTGAAATAAATATATATCTGTATACATAGATAGAGGTAGATAAAATTAGCTTGAAATGCAATTTGGTCTACTTACCAGACATTTTTCCCATTTCTCCTGCATCTTTTGTTTCAATTGTAATTTCACTGGAAACTCCACCTCTATTCAATGCCTTACTACCAAGTGGTAGAGCTGTTGACATGACTCTATAGTAATCCTGTAGACTGCACACTGTGTGATTGGACACTACCTATTAATTCAATATGTGTTGACTTTATCCTCTCGCTCACTTTTAAATGATTGAAATTAACTAAATTTAATGACAGCCACAGATTAGAGTTATCAATGTTATCAAATTATTCTATGGAAGCCTACTGCGGCCATATCACCCACGACTTCTAGCACAAGAGAAGTCGTGAGACGAAAAAGCTTGGGAAAAGGCGAGGAAGCGAAGGTGAAAAAACGCATTTTTCCTCGCCCTCTCGAGGTTCTGAAATGGGGCCGTAAAATGGCGTCACCCATGTCGATACATCCGTCCGTCCGTCCACCTGTCCGTCCACAAATGCTCATAAATACTCTAGTAGGAATAATACTTTAGACGGATTTTGACGAAACGAGTGTTTGATGAATCCTATATTGAAACTCAGAAAAATTGCACCCTACATGGCGTTGCCCGTCTTTTTTTTTAGCGCACACGATGCAGAAAATCTCAATTCATTTCATTTAATTTTCTACTTTTTTACTATCGCTTTCTCGCCTCTTTCCTTGCCTTTTTACTCGCCTTTTTCTTCGCTTTCTCGTTTGCGAGAATTCGAGAGTAGATATGGCCGCAGCCGGCTTCCATATTATTCAATCATATATAAAAACATGAATAGTACCTTATGATAAGCCATTGTAATGAGGAGAAACTAACGAAGCTTCACATTTATTCAATCTAATTAACAATAACATTAGACACAACTTTTGTTTCATTTTTTATTAGTTTTTATTTTTAGTATAGCCACTTCAGAGTAGGGACTCTTGGATATTTGTCAAAATAACAAGTTAAATTTGTATGTCATTATTAGGTGAAACGTATAGAAAACTGCATGGGGTCATGTGAGAAATATAAAAGCTAAAGTTTTTGTTTCCATTTTGATGTATTCAATTATTACTAAATAATGACTTCATGGAAATTTCAAATTTACAAACTTGGAAAAGACTATTGTTAGGATTACGAACCTGGATAACTGATTCTAAATCGTATTAATCTCCTTCCGTATTACATCACTGCATATATTTGAACATGTCACCTGTCGATGAATGATTAGTAATTGTTTCAGATTTTTATGAAGAAATTTCGATTTCGATGTTAGGGTCAGATTTGACCCCAAGGTGCCGATGTGTTTGTAAAACTGACGCTACTTCTTTCATGTACCTCTTAACGATTTTAACTTTAAAAAAATTCGTAATGATGATGTTTTAGACTCTATTCTGAGTATTCACACAAAAATTATCCCATTTAGATGAAATGTGGTAAGAATAATTTTTTTTAACTACACTGTGGCGATCGATGGGTGAGGCACATGTGTTGTCCGGATTCAAAATTGAATTAGTAGTTCCCTCCCCTATTTATGATCTGACGCTTTCGAAACCAGTGAATCGTTACATTGGTTGCTTTAAGCCTGAGTCCCACTGGACTTTGTGAATATTTGCGTACCATTGGCGAAGGGACAAGTGGGCAATCTCAATGCCTCGCAATGATATATGCAGAATATTCGCCGTGCTTCTTCAAACAATTTATGCATCAACATTTTGTTGCTTAAAGTGCACACAAAAGCATTTGCGAAGTGCACAGAATGCCGGCAAATATGTGCCGTTTCATCTCATAACCCTTCTTTTATAGTTTTATGGTGGAGATAGTTAGTATGCCACCACGCCAGCAGAAGGGCAAAAGAAGCAACATTAAGAAGTTCGTCTCAGTAAACTCACCAGGGAATGATCTCTTTTGGATCCAAGACTTGACCCAATAACGTCTCCTTGTTATTTCTCTTCTCCTACGTACCAATAACAGGAATAGGGCAGGTTCCATCTCTTGCCAGTCATCTATGTGTTCTCAGACTATCGCAGAATTTTACAGAGGTTTTACTAGCGTGTTCTCGAAAGGACCGATTAATTCCGATGACTATTTTCAGTGTCGCATTGAGGTATATTTTTTCTTAAAGGGGATTCGGTCGTTCGGGCTTCGCCTCAAAGAGACATCTCCCATTTTTGTGCACTTTACGGGTTAAATTTTCAACTCTGGAAAACCCCTATGTTTACAGGGCTAAACGTCTCTACTTTGTTAAGATCCGGAAAGTCAGATAAAATTAATAAGCATTTCCGAATTTTTGATTCAATTTATTGAACTGTTATTATTAAATTTGTAAAACGAAAAGGTTTATTGGTAGTGTAACTTATAGGGATATATACATTCGGTACCTGCTGAATGTTATTTCGTTAAAATCAACCAATACAAGATTATTATAGCCTTTCAAAGTCTGGAATATGATCTCATATCTTTCTGATATAAACCATCTAAGGTCTGTAAATAATTAAGATGATTATGATGATAATGAAGATATATTGTGTAGTGGATTAGGTTCTAGCATTCAATTATTCAAAATACCCAATCCCATGATAATATGTTGTTATCAAATTTTATTTATTTATCTCTTCTGGTGCTATAATTATTATGCTCACTTGAAATCATAAATCTCTCAAATTACTGCCTTGAAATACGCTGTTTTTTTTTCAAATTGCATATTTTAATGGCCAATATATTAACATATCCGTAAGGGATACAGTGCAGCCTGTCACACAAAGCTGGCTTAAAGTTGCGAAAGCAAAGCAGTGGCGGCGCCAGCCTCCCTGACCGGGACTACAAATAGGGGACAGAGTGAGCTATTGGGCGAAAGTAGGGGTCAACTGGCGAGGTTGAATTCAAAATATGACAGGTCTGTGGAAGCGCCATAGTCACAAAAGCGTCCATGGAGCGTCTATAATGGGGGCTCTTTTGTGGGTATTTTTGAAAAATGATATTTATTTGGTGAATAGGGAGGCAAATGAAGTTCACAGATGTTGCTATATTAAAACTGAATAGTTGGCTTCCATTAGACCCAGTTAATATCTATAGCTACAGATCTGAGTGCCACAAATTAGGAACTCATTGTTAGCTCTTTCCTTCACCAAATTCAAATTTCAGAGTTGATTGGATTCTGTAAAGACGAAATCAAAGTCAATAAGAAATTCTGTTTTATGGTGATTGGAATTCGTTCTGTAACAAATTGAATTCAATGGAAAAATTATTCAAATATTGATATATATTTATTTTTTTGTAATGAAATTACATTGTATTTTAATTTCACATTTCCAGAGATGAACCTATTTTATTACCAACTGTATCCTTCTCAATATGTTCTTTATGGGACTCGAACAACAATAAATTTTGACAGGATATTTTCAATTTGAAATTTCAAGTCATAATATTGGATTACTCATCTTAAAGAGAATAACCATTACTGAATAAAACAAATACTGAAACAAACATATCTCTAGAAGGTAGCAGTGCTGATATTTTGTCTTTTACTGTGGTACCCTTTTCAGCTTAAAAGACGATTGTCCATATAACAATGTTTCTGTATGCATAATAAAACACATCGGAAAAAGACATTCTTCCAAAACATAACAAAGAATAATCATGAAAGTATCAATATAAGACATTTGAAAGATTTTACGAGTAAGAGTAAAACTTTGTTTTATATCCTGACTCGATACGATGTTTCCATATGATTACTGCACTTGACAATATTTCGAAAACTTACCAATTGAAACAGAAAATAATTTCCACATACCTTAATAATTGTGAATAAAATTTGAAAAATATGTTCTTTAATATGAAGAGGTAATTATGTTTGGTCACATTTCATTTTAACACGATTTCTCGTCTTATTTCATCAGTTTTCATATTGAAGGCAATACGACTAAAATACAAAATATAGATTATATTCTATGGAAAAATATTATTTCATCAAATGAAATTATTCCTCGTTTTGAAAAAGAGATTTAAATTGCTAATCTATACTGAAGTACGATATTCACTATTCTCAGTGGAGATCTTTAAACAGCAAATAGCGCCAACATTCCTGCTATCTGAATTCTATTGAAATGTAAGAGAATAAGCGAAAAGGTCACTATATTACAGTGTAAATTGTGTAAATCAATTAAATTGGTGAAAAGTGGAAAATATCGACAGATGTGACGGTATTAATTAATGAGGTACAGAATTGAACATTTTTAAAGTCAGTCATCCTTTAAGATTTACAATCAAATCAATGTTGGAAATGGTCCTAATACGTTGATTTGTCGATTTTCCGTCTCTTAAGAAAATTTAGGAGAAAATGATTGAAAATTTATGCCCCATTTCAAAGAATGGATTGTAAACTATTTATCTTTTAGTTTTGATACAAAATATCAATTCATGTTTTCCTTGAAATAAATGTTGTTGTAAAGATAACGTAGTATATAGAATGTTCTTTCTGTATGGGTATCTATAGAATTATATTGACTACTGAAATGAAATAAATTTAGTCTAACAACCTACTTTTGTCCACGGATATGCTGGGACGTGATCAGCCCGACAAATTTGACTCTATTTTCTCGGACGTGATATATGAATGTGATATTGGCACAGTTTCATATTCGTATATCACATTCGAGGAATGGGTAGGGCCAGGCGCGATGTAGTGTGCAATGAGTAAAATTTTGTGACAGTATAGTCTTTCTAGCCTCCTCTCTTTTGAATTAAACTGAGCATGTTACGTATTCAGTTTATAGCACACGGACATAGATTTATTGTCCCACCTGGACGACCAGGTGATATTCTTATGTCAGTCCATCCATCCTACATCACTTACAGGGAATACCACCTACTATTATCCTTCCATAAAAGCTCCATTTACAAAATTAATTATAAATACACTTTACAAACATAATTTGATACATACATATACTATGTTATAGCGCAAAGTTCATCCATATTACTAATATAAGCTTTTCTGCCTGTTCAAAACTAATAAGATCTTTTTATAGCCAATGTTCACATTATATGAAAAAAGGGACTAATATTCATGCCATTGCTACATAATAGTTATCTACAAAAGATGTAACATGTCAACCATGAAA